TTAGTTACTTTTTTATGGAGTAACGCAATATTGTAATGCATTACTTTTAAAAGTAACTTTCCCCAACACTGATCAGGACTGTTGCAGTGTACAAAGAAATTTTGCATGCTCAAAGTCTAGTGTGACTGTGGCTTAAATACTCAGATTTTTTTGTAGGTATGCTTTCAATGGACGCATTACTATCCATTGAGGCTAATGACTAATGTAGTAGGTTACATGGCCAACATGCCAGATGTAGTATGGCAGTGAATCTCAACCTTTTGGCGTACTGGACCCCCGTCCAATTCAGAACCATCCTCAAGGACCCCCAGAACAAAATTGACTCATCTATGTATCATTTGTATCTTTGTGAGGACCAAATGCAGTCAAGTATAATTCAAATTAGTTGACTTGTCCAGTATTTGGCCATATCATCAGCTATATTGGATTTTTCTTTCATGGAAACATGTCATGTGACAAAAATTCATACTTTATACGGACCCCCTGGCCTTACGTCAAGGACCACTAGGGGTCCACGGATCCCTGGTTGAGAAACACTGTAGTATGGAGCGGTAGTGTTCATACTACAGAGTGTTCATGCTTTAAGAACATGCAATCCAAGATCTAATATGATTCTGCGATTGCCACTTTGAGTGATCTTCTTTTAGTTTGTCATTAAAATACATACAGTTCATTGGTCAGAAGAAATTGTGGCAATCAAATTTCGATTACTATAAATGAATATTTATTTCTATTATTATAGAAAATAGAGTAGAATATATCAATATAATTATTTCCATTTGAATGTTTTCTATTATTTTTATTCTCTTTGCTTGCCAGAATGCAAATGTTGTACCCTGGGTACTGTTGTTCAGAAAATATCAGGAAACACAAATTTAAGGCTGTACCTCACATTCTCCTGGCGTACCAACCCTCTACATTGCGAGTAAATCACTCGCATATGCGACTAAATCTTACTCTGGGCGACTAAATGATGTCTAATATTAGCCAATTGCTAATAAATTCTCCGATTTTACTCGCCAGTGTGTGAGTTCGAGGTTAAGTATAAGTGTAGCACAGATATATTTTCACTCATAGAACACTCTGACTGAGCGCTTTCCGGTAGTGGGTGGAACTAATGCGCAAACAACGGCAATCTCATTGGCTGGTGCTCACCTATTATCGTCCCTGTTTTGATTTCAGCAAATCAGTTCGAGATATATATATATATATTTATCAGTCTGGCGAGTAAACAAAAAAATTTACGAGCCAATGGCGATTCATTTGCCAAGGTGTTCGTAGAGGGCTGTTTGTTATAGCTGTTTTGTTGTTTGATTAACATTAGTGACATATTCAGCAGCACGTATTTATAGGCTGCTGTCC